CATGATATAATGCAAAGTGAAATATAATTGTTTACAATGAAATTAGGACTCTAAATGGTTAAGGGAGACGCATGATGCAAAACCATTCAGACAATTTTAAAACCATTATGAGACACTTTTTTTTTTGCCAAACAAGATTCACCCGGTAATCGTAACTTTTCTTGATCTCATGAAATTATTACTACATTTGTCCCAAATTGGAATTTTTGGTTGATTTTTGAAACAACGTGATGATCATAAAAGATGAAGAATCTTCAATGGAGGTTATTATAAAAACTCATTTTTTTCACTTTTTATTATCATCTCATCTCCAATTTATCAAATAGAAGTCCGTTAAAAGTTCACGATGGTCTCTTTTTTTGTGGGTCCCATTGATTTTTTTCAACATCAATAATAATTATAAAATCAAGAAAATAAAAATGCCACTTCTCACAAATTTAATGGTAAAAACCAAAGTTTTTATACGATAATCTAAAGAAGATAAGGTTCTTGTAAGAACTCTAATAAGAACCTTACATCGGAGATGCTTTCACAACGGAGAATAACCAACCATGGTTCCAACAATCAATGTCCGTAGGGACAGATTCAGTAATAACTAAGAGGGTGCTTATTGCCCCATTCTATATATCATATCGACACAATGGGAAAAAAGTTATGGATCCGTCACAAACTATATATAATATACATGAAGGGTCGTGTGAGAACAGGAGTGGTGGGAATGTTGCAGTAGTTTGTGTGAGAATAGGAATTGTGGGAATTATAACACCCCCAAAGCCCAAAGCAATGGACTAGCCCAATAACTTCGAATCCAACTTAAAACATGGTGGAAGTTATTGGTAGCCCACTACTTAAGACTTATAAGGAGCTAACAATTCTCACATTCACGAGATATACAGCAACAAGAAGAAGGAAAAGGATATCCATGTGGGACGAGTTTTTACAGGAATGTTGCATTAGGCACCCCTCCACGAAACATTGAAACATTTTTTTTCCTTGTCAACTTGTGTAAATCTTTCGAATCATCAAATTGAGTTACTCGATGATCATATAATGCCAACAGACACCATTGCAGGGGTGGTGTCACGGTCGAATAGTCGTATAGGGTGTATAAATTAATAAAATAGCACAGTAATACAAGACAGATTTCAGGTTCACTTCTAGTGATCAACTTTTTGTCCAAATACAGTAAACCAAAATAAAATGTCAAAAACATATCACTAATTATATGTACCATCACATAATATTGTATTTTAATAAATAAAATATAACTTGATACCTTTATTTGATACAAACATAAAAATTTGAGACTTAATGGACCGGAAGGTTGTTTAAAACCGGTCTAGAATCGGTCCACGTTATATTTTAAAACCGGTTCAGGTCATACCGGATCAAACCGGTCAAAAGCTCGGGTTTGTGATGCAAAGGTTTGAATGCAAGTGTTTAGTGATTCGAGTGATCTACCGGAGAAGACGACGATGATATCATCGCCGGAGTCAATAGCTTTGCGTTCTTCACCTTTAACACGCTGGTCAGCACCGCCAGCGGCGTCACATCTCCGACCACCGTCACCTTCTTGGCATCAAATTCTATTTTGAAAGATGTTACCCCTGAAATTATAAGAGATTCTCAGAAAACAAATGAAGGTTTTGTGATGAATACCCCTTTAATGGTGGATTTTGTCGTAGGAAATATGCAGGTAAAAGTCAGTAGTGAATGATAATACCTTCGATTTTGGATATGTGTTTTCTCATTTTCCTTTCGCAACCTCTGCAGTGCAAGGAGACCTCCAGGACAACCACCTGGTCGGAAGAGGGAGGAGGTGGCGGAGGCGGTGGCGGTGAAGGTGGTTTACGGGTGGTGGAGTAGAGTGAGTCCTGGTTTTTCTTGTTTGAACCTTTGTAATTAAGAAATTCTTGAGGGTCAGGTGGCGGTGGCGGTGGCGCTGGTTTAGGAGGGGATGATGAGAATGAATCATCATCATCATCACTGTTGAAAATGAAAAACCCGAGACCTTCAGTTGGCGGTGGCGATGGTGGTGGTTGTGGTACAGGAGGTGGAGGAGGAGGAGGAGAGGACAGTAAATCATCATCTTTCTTCTTGAAAGCGGTGCTATAATTATGAGATATGAGTGGTTGCCGTGGTGGTGGCGGTGGCGGTGGTGGCGTCGCCGGAACATGGTCAAACTCCGACGAGAAATTGAACGTAGCTCTGTCACTCAACAAACACCTTGATGAAGTTGCTGGGCTGATAAAATCACCTGTCTTTATGAACTCATTATCATCATCGCCACCGACAACCGCAACACTCTTCTTTTTTCGATCACCGGTGGCGGCCACCTGCGCCTGGTGTTTCTTGGCGGTCTCCGACGACTTCTTCTGGTGGTGGGGTTGGTCGGCCGGCTGGGTGATGTTGGCACTAAAAGGAAAGATGCGACCTTGGGCGAGTCTTTTTTCATCTCGGATGATGGGGTTGTGACGGTCGATTGCTCGGCCACCACCACCACCACCATTGGCGCCGCCGTAAGCGGTGGAGGAGGAGGAAGATTCTTGAAGAACAATAGTATCCATTATAACATGGGTGGTGCACTGAAGTTTGAGAAGAAGCACACAACATATGAAACACCTTTCATAGGTGTAGTGGCTTTCGAATAATTGGTTTACTTTTTGAATGTTGATATATGCCATCTTTGGTGTCTAAATTCCTTTTTTTAAGCTATTTTTCCGTATAAACTTATAAATCAGTTTTAAATAATACGTGTAAAAATGCAATGTTTATATAATGTTGTTTTATATGTAAACCGTTCACGATTGTCTTTTGACTTTTTCTGCACTCTGATCAGTCATGAACTTTTAATACGTGAAAGAATCTATATAAAAACTGTATTTTCACATGTGTTAGTACATGAAAACTGGTTTGTAAGTTTGTACGTTCTAAATGATTCTCTTTTATTCTTGTTCTATTTTGGTATTTTCACGAAAACGATATTTTTTTTACCTTTTTTGAGATAAAAGCAAGTTCTGTCCTGCTTAACTTTGTAGGGTTAGCTCAACTGACAATAAGACTTGGGGCAATAGGGATTCTCCTAAGAGGTAACTGGTTCTAGTCCTGTAGAGCCATTGGGGATTTTTCTGGGTGTTCTCCAAGAACCCTAAGATTAGCCGAGGTGTTAGAGCGGCCAAGACACCCACGGTTGACCAAAAAAAAAAAAGATTTGTCCTATTTGTCTAGGATATATTATATTTGTTTGGTTTTACCCATATAAAACTAAAAAAAGTAGAAAAAATCCCGAACCCAATTGGGTCGTTTTTCATGAGGATTAGCCAACGCAAGCTCAGGAAATCTTGTCGAAAAGAGATCAAGTGAGCAACGAAATCGAGTTAGGTCTAGTGGTTGGGTCTTGGTTACAACTAAATCGGTTAGGTTAGATGGTGTTGATCTCATTCATATAACAAACGATGTCGACATGGTACCATCACCATGATTTTGATGTTGATTCTCTTGTACTGTGTGCATGATGGGTTGTACCGCTGTTGTGACGTAAGCGGTTACGCTCACCGCCACCGATGGTGACCGATTGACAAAATAAAATGTTGCAAGACAGAGTTTGGTTGGATTTAAATAGAGGCAAAAGGTGTTTGATCAAAGGAATAAAGTGTTGATGGAATTGTATTCTTATATTCTCATCCATTTGATGCCACACAAACACAACACAAAACCCTTTCTATTCAACATCTTATTCTTCATGATCATGTCCTACATTTGAAAACCATGCTTGGTTTCTAGGTGGTATACTTATAAAAACAACTGCAATACATATATATATATATATATGTATAGACTTGGGATCATGTAAGACCAACCTGTTTTCGTGAGACCCTTGAAACCACTTTTTTTACTTTCACAACGTTTTGCTGTGAAGTTTCAAGTGTAAAAAAGTGGTCTCACGAAAACAGGTTGGTCTCACGTGAACCCAACTATATATAGACTTGGGATCACGTGAGACTAGTTTGTTTTCGTGAGACCTGTGAAACCATTTTTTTACACTGTAAAACTTCATAGCAAAAACGCCGTGACGTAACCTTTATAGTGTTTTTGCTGTGAAAGTTCGGCTTTTTTACGTTCACAACATTTTGTTGTGAAGTTTCAAGTGTTAAAAAGTGGTCTCACGAAAGCAAATTGGTCTCACGTGAACCCAATTATATATATATATATATATATATATAGAGAGAGAGAGAGAGAGAGGTGGGTTATTATACAACTCTTTACATTTGTACAACCAATACAACTCAATCTCAACCGTCCATTTAATTTGATTAATATGTTATTTCATAGAAGTTTTGATTGTTTCATAATATAAAGTATTGATCATAATAAATGAACTATATTCGTCTTCCATAAATATTCAAATCATAATAAATGAACTCTCATCATTTCCATAAATATCACAATTTATTGGATTGCATTGGTTGTACAAATGCGATGGGTTGTATTTGAAACGATCTCTCTCTTTCTCTCTCTCTCTCTCTCTATATATATATATATGTATATATATATATATATATAGGTATGTAGGAAAAGGTTCATTTGAAAAATGGTAAGTATTTGATAAATAAAGAAGTAATCATAACCCTTTTATCTAGTCAACATTTGCGGCTTTTACTGTGAAGCACCAGATAATTCCTCACATGGGTATGCGGAAGATAGAGGGATGGTTTCGTAACTTCTAAAAATGAGCGGCAAATATTTCCAAAAAATAGTTGTTTCTTACAATACATCGCGATCCAATAAGCCGATCAAGCCATTACACCAACCCGAAAGGGGTTCGAGTCGAAAAAAGATTCATAAAAACAAAAATCTAACGCGTACTCTTAACCTCCAAATCAAGAGGAAGAATCGCGGCGTTCCTACAGGAGCGGTGTTGATGCATATCACAACTATATATAAACAAACGTATAGATATACGTCGTTGAATCTATACACGTTAGCGTTTTTCCGGTCTCTCATTTGTCAAATTCGCCTTCGTCTTCTTTCAAGATTCGACTTCTGAAATCTGACGCCATTTGTGGCAGACCCTCTCGGAGCGTGATCTTCGGCTCCCATTTCAGCAGCTCTTTCGCTTTGCTGATATCCGGTTTTCTTTTCTGAGGATCGTCAGCAGTATTCTCTCGGAATTCTATTGCAGCCTTCGAGTCGATAATTTCTTTCACCACCTAAAAAATAATCGAGTCTGAATAGTAGAACACGAAAACCGAAAAGGGTTCACTGGTTCACGTAACTAGTGACCCTGGTTACACGCACTACAACAAAATCAGGTTTATAGGACACCAAAATTGTGTAAGTATCCCAATAGACTCTTTTATAGGACGCCTAAATTGTCAAAGCGTCCTAATATAATACTTTATAGAACTTATGTTTATAGGACCAAACTATAAAGCGTCCTATCTAAAATCATTATAACAGGTTTATAAGACGCTTTCGGCGTTTTAACAATTTTTTTAGTACGCTTTTAAAATAAAATGTCTTATTAGCTATTTCATATGACGCTTTTGAGATATGTCCTATAAACCCATCTTTTTATAGGACACTTTTTAAATAGTGTTGTAAAAAATAGTTAATACGATATTTTATTTTAAAATTGTCATAAAAAACTTATTAAAACACGTAAAAAAACGTCCTATAAACCTATTATAACACTTTTAGATGGAACGCTTTTTGGTTTGGTCCTACAAACTTAAGTCATATAAAATATATTTTTAAGACGTTTCTACATTTTAGACGTGTGTGGTACATTATTTGAAAAAGTGTCTTGTAAAAACAATTGTCCTATAAAAAGAAGTAATTATAGGGCACTTCTCAAAAGCGTCATATAAAATAGCTAATACGACACTTTATTTTAAAAGTGTCTTTAAAATATGTAAGCGTTCTAACAATTATACTTTATATGCTTTGTAGGGCGCTTTAAGGCGTTTTAACAAATTTTTTAAGGCGTTTCTAAGTAAAGTGTCGTATTAGCTATTTTATAGAACAATTTTGAGAAGTGTCATATAAACCCATATTTTTATGGGACATTTGTGTTTATAGTACATTTTTTCAAAAAGTGTCGTATAAAATAACTAATACGACAATTTATTTGAAAACGTCATAAAATTTGCTAAAATGTCGAAATCATCCTATAATAAACCTATTATGACACTTTTAGATATGACGTTTTTTTGTTTTGAACCAGGGGCGGATTAGACGAAGGTCATTGACCTAAACTTTCTTTCAGAAAGTCATGCTCCGAACCGAAAACTCATTTAAGGTCATTTATCCAAAACACCCGAGCCTAAAAGGGCGACCCTGGTGCACCATGGTTCCTCGATCGCCCATCGGTCTAGCCTAGAGGATGACCCTGACTCCTTGGCTTTACACGGGTTACAAACCTCAGCCAGCTCTAACATGGTGAACTCTCCCGGATTGCCCAAATTGAAAGGCCCGATATGATCGCCTTCCATGAGTGCCATCAGTCCATCAACCTGAAATTAAAGCGGTCTTGTTTAACGTTCTATGTAGATATGGACACAGACTAGTCCCGACCGGTCCACGATTTGGTCAAAGTAGTCCAAGAAAAGCCTGGCCCGATCTGACCTGGTTTGAGTAACCGATCAGGACAAGACATTCAGGTCTGGCCCAGTCCGGTCCAGAGACGGCCAAACTGGGCCTGACCCTGCCCAAGACCAGTTACAGGATCGGGACCGATTATACATAGTCCTATTTTTTTTTAAATTTACATTTTTATAAATTATACCAAATCCGAGACGTATTGAAAGCTTCGTGTTTGCTTTCCGTCACCATAAACAGTCATGGGCTGCTTACGAATCGCCTGTAAAACATTGCCATCTTACTGTCAGATCTTTAAGAATTACGACAAAATTGTAAAAAACGTACGAGGTTTTACCTGTGAAACAAAGTTGCTAACAACACGACCGTCATCTAGACACATTCGAGGACCATATGTGTTAAAGATACGTGCAATACGGACCTGTAAAACGAGAATTCTAGTATATACCATACTTGTAACTACAACTTATCAATACTACTCTCGTTCAATCACGCTTAACCGCAGAGTACTGATGAGATAAATGCATCAAATTAAATAAACAAAATCACCTCAAGACCATCGTTTCTATGATAATCCATTGTTAATGTTTCAGCGGTTCGTTTCCCTTCATCGTAGCAACTTCTAACACCTAAGTTATATAATCATGAACGTTATAACGGAACCACAAACGCAAAGATAACAAGATAAAAGGTAAGGATCCACCTATCGGATTCACGTGTCCCCAATACGTTTCCTTTTGTGGATGCTCAAGAGGGTCTCCGTAGACCTCACTAGTGCTCGTAATCAAGAACCGTGCCCGGATTCTTTTGGCGAGTCCGAGCATGTTTAAGGTCCCCATCACATTTGTCTTGTAATCGAACGAGTTAAGGAAACCCTAATTCAGATAATTCAACCTCTAAATGGAAATTGCATTAATCCCAAAACTAAAACCAAAAGGAACCGAGTACATCCCACCTGAAGCAGGGTTTGAGGAGGGTAAGATGTATGCAAACCTGACCTCTACCTGAAAGGTAGAGCGGCTGTTTCCATGAAGACCAACATAACGATAGAAAGACATAGCATAAAGATTTGAAAAGCTAGTTCAAAGAAAGCAATGATGCCTCTTGGGATCACTTTGACTTTCTAAGGTCAAACCGAATAACTTTTGACTTCAAAATTAACGATCGTGTCTTTGGATTTTCACAAAATGTGGATAACTACATTAAACTACATAAGAAATACTACTAACAGAAACAATTCCACAATTGAATTTATGATCACAAATTCCATAATCAAGAAACCCAAAAACATCTATGTTGAACCTCAAAAAAGTCAAACCTTAAGCAATACCAAACTGTTCCTCATGAATTCATAATCAACAAACCCAAGAATCTCCATGCTGAACCCAATAAGTCAAACCTTATATCTTCTACATATCATCTTTAAGGATCTGAATCAATACCCAATTCAAGAAACACCAAGAAAACTATAAAAGAATCATAATGATGCATAAAAATGGTGGGTTTCATCATAAAACTGTAAATTTCTGCATAAAAATGGTGGGTTTCATCATAAACATATGAAAATGGTGCATTGTTGTATCCTGCATTTCAAGATCAAACTATGAATGAAAACATGAAAGGATATGATGGTCTTGACAGGATTATACTTGTAATGAACAGGAGAAGCAGGGCAAGCTAAATGATAGATCTGATCAACCTCCAACAAAATGGGTCTAACAACATCATGTCTAATCAACTCAAATCTAGGGTTCTCAAAATGATGAACCAAATTTTCTTTCCTACCAGTGAAGAAATTATCAAGAACAATAACTTCATCCCCTCTAGCCATCAACTTATCCACCAAATGACTACCCACAAACCCAGCTCCGCCGGTCACCACCGTCCTCATCCTCCTATGAGTAATGGGGGCGGGAATCTTTGCGGCGGCCCCATGATCAACGGGACGGCGGTGGAGGGTGGGGGTTTCACGGTGGGTAATTGAAATTGATCTGGGGAATCTGCGAATTTCGTCTACATTGTTAGAATCGGTGATGGAAAGGGTGGATAAGGAGGGTTGGTAGATGAAGTAGATGGAACCGATCAAGATTCCGATGATGATGAAGAGAAAACGTTGTTCTTTGAAGATGTAAGTGAAGGATCTATGGAGATATCTTGAAGACGATGGGTGTTTAAAGGATTTGGGGGAGTATGGTGGGGTTTGATTGTTGGGCATTTCTTCATCTCGTCTTTGATTTGCATGTGATTGTTTGTGCAATTGCTTCATGGTGTTCATCATCTTTGGTTCCTCTGAAAGGTTTTTTGAAGAATTGAGAAAGAAATTGGAGATGGGTGTGAAGGATTTCTTGATATATTCAAGATTTGGACAAAGATTTGTTGTTGTTTGAGGTCTAAAATGTTGAAAAACAGGGGAATCAATCAAGAAGATGAACAAATTTGTAATGGAGTCAAATTGGTTGCAAAACATCCTCTAAATCTATTTTAGTATATCAACCTACAAATATATACATATTTATTTATTTATTTATTTATTTTTAATTTGATAAATTGACTTCAATATTTGTTTCTAAAATCATTTTTTTCATTTACAATAATGAGATTTTTTTAATTTTTTTGAGAAGGGCAGATATAATATTTTTCGTTAAAATTAATGAATTGTTGAAACTAATTGATTTCATGTTAAAGTTAAAAAATATATATATTTTTGATAACTTTCTGACTTCTTAATTTATCGGAATTACTATATGGATTTCCGATATATCTCCAATTTTCAGCCCACTCAATAAAAGAACTTAATTGTTGAGATATTATGTACAAATAAGGTGGAAATTTGGAGTAATCCAAAATATGGCTATTTTGGATTCATTGAGAAAATTTATTTTGTGTTTCAAATTTATAACCTGGATATCCAACCCGTTATGCGAGTCGACTAAACCTAAGGCGACCACCCGTTTCGTGGGTAGCTCGGAGTTACTACATTTAAACATCTGTGGTTACAAGAGGATTTTTATTCCTCTTTGGATTCGAACATGAAACCTCCAGACACTTTTTACCTTCGGAGTCCAAGAGAGGTTATCGCATGTGCTTGATGTGATGAGTTGGTTTATCGTATTCTTGAGATGCGACAAGTTTGTTTATCGCATCAGTGTGGTGCGAGTGCGACAAAGGTGGTTATCTCATGTGCTTGATGCGACAAATTGTTTATTATGTTGATTCGATGTTATAAAATGGGATTATCTTATCTTTATGATGCGCCAAAAGAAGGTTTATTAAGTTAAATCTTGTTTTTATGATATCCTTGATAAAAGGGTTTTCAAAAAGATGTTTTGGTGATTTTCACCCTGTAACGACAATCAAAGAGATTTCTCACTAGATCTCAAGGTCTAATCCTCGTTTGTATTTCAAAATGTGCATTACAGGCCAGTCACAGTCAAACACTAAAAGGAAGGAAAAGTTGTGAAAATTTTATATTTTGCTTACATCGGATGTTAGAAAGATGTGTTATCTTTTGTATTTAAATACTTGTTATACAAGTTTTGTACTAAGATACATGGAACAATTTGGTAGCTACTTTTGTATTTTAGCCTTTGTATACATCTGGAACTGAACGTGTAAAGTTATATTTCTTGATATATAGAAATATATGTTTATATGCAAATGTGAAATTGTGGTGTTACAAAGTTTATCATAGCAGTTGGAGCAAATTTTTCTTAGATCTCCAAAATTTCTAAAATAACATAGTTTTTAAAGATACTTTTGAGTCCCGCATTAATTAATTAACATGTTATTATGTTAACATCAGTATAAATAAATGAACATTATAACATCGATATAAACAAATTAACCCCAAAACTTAGCCTCAGATGTACTTAAATTAACGTCTAAACACAAATAAATATCATTTAACCCCAGAATCCAAATATTAACTAGAAAACAAAAACAAGTTTACCCTAAAATATTAATATCAATTGAAATTCGTCCACTCGAAGAGTTACAGTTACTACTTAGGTTTATAGTTTTAACGGGAAAAAATTGTCTGCGGTTTTACTCGACAAAAAATACGACTGTAATGTTGCACGACTAAAAGTTTTTCACACTATACAACGTCAAGTTTCTACTGGCAGTAAAAACACTTAAAAATTTGAGTAAACTATAAATTTGATCCCAGTGGTTTGCCAAAAATAACATTTTTCATTCTTGTAGTTTTGAAATTACAAGATGCTCATCGTGATTTGCAAAGACATCTGTATTTGGTCCCTTCCTTTAACGGTCGTTAAAAATTCCGTTAAATGAGACAGGTTTTCATTATTTTATTAAAAAATTGTCTTTTAGCCGAATAAAAAACCACATGAAGCAAAAACCATAAAATTGATTTTAGTTAGAAAAATAAAAAACTGATAAAATGACAACATTGCCCTCACATAACAACCGTTAGAGAAAAGGACCAGATCTGGATGTTTTTTACAAACTATGGTAATTATATTGTAATTTTGAAACTACAGAGACAAAAGTGTTATTTTTGACTAACCACAGGAACTGAATTTGTAATTTACTCTAAAACGTATTCCATGTTTTTATATAAGGCTATTTTTGAAAAACTAACTGATAAGTTAACTGGTAGCTGATAAACTAATTATTTGTAGCTGATAGTTGATGAGTTAATTGATGAACAAATTATGTGTAACAAAAACTGGCTAATAATATAACTAAAACATATATTTAATAATATAATATATTAATACAATATAGTAAAGAAAAATTAAAATAATGTAGCATATTAATTAAAAAGAACTTTAAATTTATTACTATTTATATT